GAAATGAACATTGGGATACTTGTTTCTTAAGTGAATCCTGCAATATACAATTAATGAATTTATCTTAGAAGATAAAAAATTAGAAATTTGATTTAATCCATTTAGTATAATTACTCATAATCCTTTGAGTAATTTCAGCAACCTTCGGAGTAATATATTGGCCTTTCTTAATTTTGGCCTCTTTCCATTTTCTTTGACAAGTTGGAGGAGTTAGGGGATGAACAATAATATTGGCGTCAGATCTTATAGCTTCCTCCAATTGCTTCAAATCAACTTCCCTAAGTTTTTAGTCTAGCTTCCTATATCCCCCCAACATAAGTAATGTTGATATTTATTTTTAGACTATCTCTCTTTATTTGCAGTACTTAATTCGTATAATGAAATAAAAATAAAGTAAGTCAGATGTAAACTAAACAAAAATAAACTAAGTAAATTATTAATTATATTAAAATTTACCTAAAATCTAAGATCATCTCGTGACCTCACAAATTGTTTTCAAATATCTTTATCAATGAAATTATATTCCAAACATGGATTATTGTTCTTTCTTCCTCCTCGAATATATTCCTTGGAAAGTGATGACTTGACATCTTTCCATCGATCATGTACTTGCTGCAGCTAATACTTCTTCATGTCATTGGTAGGAGGGATATTATAAGTAAGCTGCAAAGTGTCATACTTATGAAGTAAGATGATAGTATCTAATATAACTAAAACAATAGAAAAAGATAAAAAAATATGCATGCTAAAATATCATTCCAAATCATGTCCTCAGTAGCTTCTGGTACTTCTTGCCAATTAGGATACAAGATGCCAACTTTACTTTGAGTTATAAGACCTATATAAATTACAAACTTATCCCTTTCTATACTAAGTGGTCTTTTACCACCACCAAACTCTAAATGCACTCTCTTTGTAATGCCTTAGCGTAAAGCCAACTCCTTTAATTTTGTACTTCCTCTACCTCTTTTCTTATAAGATGCACTAGATGTGTTAGCTACATCTTTACTAGAACCCTCCATGTGCCTGTTAAGATCAGAAAATAATATAGGTAAGTAACTTACATTATAATTAAATATATAGAAAAAAATAAATGAAATAAATATATGAACATGAGGAATCAATTACTTCAATGTTCTACTAATTAATTCTTACTTTATTCATTCTCCCAAATTCCTCCACAATGATCATCTCTAACTGCATATTCATCATCAACTAAATCTACTTCAATTGATCTAGGTAGATTTGTACTAAAAGGTGGGGTTTCATCAAGGTTAAAAGTTGAGTCATCATCCTCCACATCAATAATTTGTTTTTTTGCCTTGTAGTATAATAGAACGCTATTTATTTATTGGATCAGTGACATAAAATACTTGTTTTTCCTGACTTGCTAAAATGAAGGGCTCCTCTTTAAAACCAAGTCTCTTAAGATCAATTGAAATAAACCAAAATTCTTTATCTACTTCAATAGCATTAAAGTGAACCCACTTGCATTTGAAAATAGGTACTTTGAATTTAGTATAGTTCACCTCCCATATCTTATCAACTACTCCATAATAGTTCGTGCAAGCTAATAATGTGTCATTATCTTTTGAACTGAAAAAATGTTAAGCTTCAGCTTCTACCATTACCCCACTAATTTGCATGGTACTTTTATCATCTTAGGCTTTTATATAGAAAGAATATCCATTCATATCATACCCACCCAAACACATGATCTCAAAACGAGGTCCCTCAACTAACCATATTATTGTATCAAACATACTAGTCTCATTCATAACCTTTTCCTTGAACCATCTTTTGAAAGTCTTATTGTGCTCATTAGCCAATTGCATTTCATTCTTTCTTGAGTATTTATCTTTTAACAACTTTTTATGAGCATCTATATAAGGTTGAACTTCTTCTATGTTATTTAAGATGTACAGATGTGCTTATAAGACTTCATGAGACCTACACTTCACTCTGACCCCCCGTGATCCCTTACCAATAAGTTTTATTCGTCAAGTTTGAGGGACTCTAATAGCTTTCAATTCTTTTAGATATGCAGTACAAAATTAAATAGCCTCTTTCGCTATATAATATTCAACAATTGATGCTTCAGGCGTATATGGGTTCTTAGAATATCCTTTTAAAATTTTCATGTATCACTCAAATGGGTACAACCATATTAGATAAACAGGATTGTAAAGTCTTATTTCCCTAACCAAGTAAATTATTAAATGCACCATGATGTCAAAAAATGCTAGAGCAAAGTGCATTTCTAATTGGCATAAAATAACATAACCTTTATTTTCTAATTCATCCAACTATTATGATCTATGACTTTGTTGCATATAGCATTGAAGAACATACACAATCTAGTTATAGGACGTCTCACATCATCTTTCATAATCTCTCGAATAGTACTGGTAAAAGTTGCAGTATCAACACATGGCAATCATGAGACTTTATGGCTAGTAACTTCAAATCACTCATCGAGACAAGTCTTCTAACATTAGAAGAATACCCTTATGGCACCTTAATATCATGCAAACATCTACATAAGCTTCTTTTCTCCTCTTTAGATAATGTGTGAACCATTGGGGGTAAATAAGCTTTCTTCCCCTCTTTTTGTTATGCATGTAAGCATTTTCTTATTCCTATTTCAGCTAAGTATAGTCCAACATTTATTTCATCATTAGTCTTACCACTTATATACAAAAGTATACCAATAAGACTATCATGCACATTTTTCTTCACATGCATCACATCAAGACTATGTCTCATATCTACACTTTACCAATATGAAAGATAAAAAAGTGGACCTCTTTTTTCACACATTCTTCTTACTTGCATTCCTTTTATTCTTACTGAAAATGGAATTGATTCCTTCCACATGTTAATAAACTTAGTCTTTAGTTAAGGCCTTTAGAGCCATTGCATACTCTTGTAAGCCATTAAAGGCCTTCTTCAATCTACAATAAGGGTAATACTGATCAAGAAATTTTCGACGACTAAGGTAGACTATTTTTCTTCCATATTTAAGTTGGTGGTTGTGTGTGCCTTCTTCATATATAGGACATGCATTGTAGGCTTTAACACTAAAAGTCATTTATTGTCATAAAAATCATGGCAGGCAACTTGAAGTGCTCTTTCTTATAAGCATAAAGAACATCTATGCCTTCCTCCCACATCATTTTCAAGTCCTCAATCAAAGGTGCCAAATAGCTATCAATATTGTTTCTTGGCTGTTTTAGTCCTGAAATCATCGAAGAAAACATTATGTACTTACACTTCATACACAACTAAGGAGGTAGGCTGTAAATAACTAATAAAACTGGTCATGTACTATGTGTGCTACCAAGATTGTCAAATAGGTTGATTCCATCTGTACAGAGTCTGAGACGAAGGTTTTTCATATCGCTTCCAAATTGAGGGAACATGTGATCTAATGTCTTCTATTGAGGAGAATAAGTCGGGTGTCGAAGTTTTCCATTAGTTATTTTCTCATCAAAATGCCATCTCAAATTTTTTGCTTTTATTGGATTAGCAAACAAACATTAAAACCATAGTATTATTGGAAGATACCATATCACCTTTATAATAGGCCCTTTAGTTATGATCTTATTACCATAATCAATATCATCATCCTTCTTTACTTTATACCACAAAGTCCTACATTTCAGACACTTGTGTAGTCCTTTGTACTCATTTCTATATAGTATGTAGTCATTAGGAAAAGCATGTATCCTTTTATAATCCATGCCCATTGGACATAAGATTTTCTTTGTCTCATACATATGTTTTAGAAGCATTTTACTCAAGAATTCAAGTAACTCTATAAAACTCAAATTAGTCCACCTACTTCTTGACTTTAAGTTAACCAATCCTAACACAACTGTCAAGAGCATAAAATTAGTACACCTTAGGTATAAGGATTTCCCTACATCACTACGCAAGTTGTCATATACATGTAATTGTGCAAATGACGTCATCCCAACATCACAAATCCTATTATCTATTCTTTTATCCTAGTCATTCACAATTGACTCATATTGTGACATAGAAGTTGTTATTGCCTCCCCATGCCATATCCATTTTGTATACATCAAATTTATCCCATCACAAATTAAATGCTCTTTTATTTCATTAATGCCCAATTCAATCTTATTCATGCAGTTAATACAAGGACAACAATACTTTCCATTTTTGCTCGAAATATTGTTTCTAGCAAATTCAAGAACCTGATCCACACCATTTTCATACTCCTCAGTCATTCTACTAGAATTTATCTAACTATGATCTATTCTATTTTTACCTAACAAATCATCACAAAATCTATTAAATTAACAATTCACTACCTTACTTATGCTTTAATTAAACTCATTTCTAAAAAAAATTGACAAAGTCTCCCCTTAAAGATTGAACATCCTAAAATTACAACAACCAGAAATCAATAGAACCAACAAGCAATTGAATAAATATTTACCTATTAAACCTATAAAATATCAAACTTTAAGCTTATCCAAGTTTAATTTCTAAATTAAAAAAAATTAGTAGAGTCTCCCCTTAAAAATTGAACATCCTAAAATTACAACAATTATGAACCAATAGATGCAAGTAGGGGTGTGCAATATACCCAAAAACCCGTCAACCGGTCCAAACCCGCCCGACTATTTATAAATGGGTCAACCCATACCCATTTAGTGAGGAAAGAAAAATGGGTACGGGTGGGTAATACCTGTATAAGTATAAATGGGCGGGTAATGGGTTAGCCCTCGAGTGACCCATACCAGCCTGTATATATTTTATATATATTATATATATATATATATTTTGGCAAACTTCAGTCCAGAGTGGTCTACTAGTGCTACCATCAATTGGAAAAAAAAGAATAGCCAAATCAGTCTAGTCCAAGCTCTAAAAGTCAGAACAGAACCCATGCCTCATCTAAATCAATCCAGTTCTAAGCTCCAAAAATCAAAACCCTCGCCTCGTCATTCATCTACCCGTGTGACTTTATGAGATTATCTTCGCTCGTGAGAGTTAAGACTGCTTTAGCTGTTATTAGTGGCGATGTCTTCGCTAGTGCCCTAGCTCTGTCGTTCCATCCAGCATCCACCACTTCGCAAGTTCGCCTGGCCAATTTCTCCACTGTTCGCCTGATCTTCATTATAGCTTGTGCGAGATTCTCATCCTTCCTTCAGCTCCATCTAGCAGACGTATGCCATTCACCTTCCTCCAACTTTAGTTAGCAGACGTATGCTCTAGGCTTTCACCTCCAGCATTGACCTCGGCTCTACTCTACTAGCAGACGCAAGCACGCAGATGCAGCAGCACGCTTCAGCTTCAGGTTCGACCTCCAGGCTCCTCTGTTGATAATTGCTTCTTTTTTTTCTTCTTATTTGTAAATGCACCATGGGTTCATTTCATAGGAAGTTGAACTCCATAGCTATTTTTTTTCCTTGGTGAATAGAAAAATAAAAAGACTTGCTAAACCTTCTTTTCTATATATGGTTTTGACTTTTTAGAAACATAGAAAGACTTCATTCTGATTCTTTTGTATGGCGTGGAAAAGGATTTAAAATTCTTGATATTTGAATGTGGTAATTGATGCAATCAATAGCAAGTTAATACCGTCTAAATGCTGTATCAATGCTCAGAAACCATTGCTTTTATGAATCATAAATTTTTTACTCATTTACTTATGTGTTGATTTGTCTAGTTGTATGGCTTTTCTAGCATGAACTGATATGGTCCTACCATGATTAAGAACATGAAGCACTAACTGCGATCTGATGTTTGTGGCCATTTTGAATGTATTATTGTATAACTTATTTTATACAAATAGAAATGCTTCGCAGTAACTGTATTGAAACAAATCTATTGTATTTATGGACACGTTCTAGGTAAGCTCTACTCTGCTAGCAGCCTAGCAGACTTATGCACGCAATATTGAAAACTTATAATTTTGTTGATATTTTAGTTAATGTGATGTACCTAGTACCAAATGTGTTTGTGATTGATTTGGTTTGGTTGCTATATAGTTTTTACTTTTAAAGTTACTATGGAAAATATGCAAGCTATAGAAGGTTCACATGAATCTAAAGCTCCCAATACCACCACCATCCTAGCAGCACCTACTAAACCTAGAGCTTCCCAAGATGAAGATGCTCCACCTCCTAAATGAAAAAGAAGTGCAACATCTAAAATGTGGAATCATTATGAAAAATTTATAAATAAAAAAGGTGAGCATCGAGCTAAATGCAACTATTATGAAAAATATTTTGCAGGCCATTCTTCTAAAACTAGGACTAAGAACCTTTAAAGACATTTTAATTCTTGCCCAAAGAATCCACATAAAGCAAAGGCGGGACAGTCCTTATTCTCTACTTCTTTTGGTAAATCAATGACTCATCAACTGTATAATGCAGAATGATGTAAAAAAGCAGTTGCTAAATTCATCATTTTGGATGAGATGTCATTTTGAGTTGTGGAAGGGTAAGGTTTTAAAAAAAATGTTAAAAGTGCTTGAACTAAGATTTACATGCCCTTCTCATACCACTATGGCTAAGTTGTGCTACAAAATATATCTAGAAGAAGCAAGATGTTCAAAGAGGTATTTTAAGAAATCTAAAGTTCGTGTGTCACTCATCACAGATTGTTAGACTTCAATTCAAAATTCCAACTACATGTGTTTGACAGCTCATTAGATTGATAAAGAATGGACATTACAGAAACCAATTTTAAATTTTTGTGTGGTAGAAAATCATAAAGGGGACACCATTGGCAATGAAATTGAGGGATGCTTATTCTATTGGGGTATTGAGAAAGTATTTGCAATTACAGTTGATAATGCTTCTTCTAATGATTTTGAAATTGTATTTTTAAAGAAGCGTTTGAAGGATTTGGGAGGTCTAGTTTGTGATGGAGAATTCTTGCAGATGCGGTGTGCTGATCATATTTTAAATTTAATCATTTTAGAAGGCCTTAAAGATATGAATCAATCTATTGAACTTATTCGGCATGCAATCAAGTTTGTTAAATCTTCTCCTAGCAGGCTTAAAAAATTCAAGGAGCTTATTGAAAAATTAAGAATTGATTCAAAGAGTCTTCTTACCATGGATTGTCCCACTAGGTAATTTATATTATTATTAAATTATGATTGTTTGCATTATGATATGCAATTTTTCCTAACATTTAAATATTTTTCTTGTCGTAATAGGTGGAATTCAACATACATCATGTTGCAGAATGCTAAGTTCACTAAGGTCATTGATAGAATGGAGGATGAGGATCAAGATTATAAGAACTACTTCAAAAAGAAAGTTAAATTGTCTTCCAGCTCAAGCTTTATTGATAGGATGGAAGAGGAGGATGAAGATGAGCTTGGTGATCATGATGGTGATAAAGGTATAGTTAAACCTCCTAATGCCTATGATTGGAGTATGGCAAAGGAATTTCTTACCTTTTTGGAGTTGTTCTATACTATGACTCTTCAATTTTTTGGATCAAATTATGTCACATCAAACACATGCTTTCAAAATATAGTTGCAATCAAGACACGATTGGATTCAATTGCAGTTGAATCTAATTCTTTGTTGAGTGACATGGTAGAAAGGATGCAAAGTAAGTATGACAAGTACTGGGGAAAGGCAAAAAACATGAATCTATTATTGGTAATAGCTGTGATTCTTGATCCTAGATATAAATTTTCTTATGTTGAAGTTGCTTTTAAACATTTTATTGGTGATTACACGAAGAGGGAAATGATGAAAAAGAAGATTATGAGGTTTTTGCATCGCTTGTTTGATGAGTACTTTGTAACTCTTGCAGTCAGTGGCAATGAACCATCTGAAACTGGTATAGAGATGGGGGACATTAGTTCTAGTGGTGGAGGGAAGCAAGTTCCTCCATCTTCTAAAAAAATTATTGATGTGGCAATACAAGATTTCTTAGCCACTGTAATGAGTAAGCGTCCAAAGAAACTAATTTCAGAGGTGGAAGAGTACCTAAATGCAGAGTTAGTTGATGCTTGTGATGATAGTTTTGATATTTTGGCATGGTGGAAAGTGAATTCTTCCAAGTATAAAGTTTTGGGTTTGATTACACGTGATTTGTTGGCTATACCTGTCTCCATAGTGTCTTTGGAATTTGCTTTTAGTACTGGGGGTTGAGTACTAGATACTTTCAGGTGTTCCTTATCTTCAAAAATGGCCGAGGCACTCATTTGCGCGCAGAATTGGCTATCATCAACATCATGCACCCCATTGGAAGAGATTGATATTGACTATTTTGATGAGACTTTACGTGCTGTTGATGGTAATAATAATATGAATAAGTTATTTTAATTATATTCATTTTAATTCTTCATAATATATAATATATATTATTACTTACTAATCTATTTGTCTTAATTTGTCTTGTAGAGGAAGAGTCAATAGCTTAATCTTCTGCTGTGTCAAGTGACTCCAAAGAAGATAAATGAGGATTGATGAGGCTGGGTTTTCACTTTAAAAATTAGAATTTTTGATCCTTGTTTATCTAGTATTTGTTGTTAAAATATTTGTGCTTGTATCATTCAGAGATTTAAACTTTTAGAATGATGCTACTTGAGTACTTATGTTAAGTTATAGTGGAATGAAAATTATATGTTTTGATTCCTTTTTTTTAAAGAAAATGGGTGTTGTGGGTAAACAGGTGGCCCAAACCTGCCCAGACCTGTTTGCACCCGTTTAAAAATGGGTTCAAATGGGTATAAGTGGGTACGGGTGGGTGGCCACCTGTTTACCTATAAACGGGCGGGTAACGGGTATAGCCACAGGCAGCCCGTACCTACCCGTTTACACCCCTAGATGCAAGAACCAATTCAAAAAATATTTCCTACCTAAATTAGTTCTCAAACTTAATTCTCAAACTAAATTATCTAAAGTGTTATTTTTATTTATTTTGGATGGAAGGTTTTAATGCAAGTAGACCTATAATTCTATAATTATAATATTATCTAAAAGATTAAGTATTTTAAACATTTATAACTTTTTACTTTGAGAATTTTATTTTCTACTTCCTTCCTTCCTATTATTATGGTGTATTTTCTCTTTACAATATTTAATAATATTTTATATAATATTATAATTCTATAATTATAATTTATTTAAAATATTAAGTATTTTAAACATTTATAACTTTTTCCTGTGAGCATTTCATTTTCTCCTTCCTTCCTTCCTATTATTATGGTGTATTTTCTCTTTACAAGATTTAATAATATGCAACACAATTAGTAGAATTACATCCCATTTCAAATGGAAGTCCAAGCTCAAAATTAAGTATTTAAAATAAATAATGTTTTTAAACAAAAGCAATATCTAACCCTTATGTGAATTTAAGGTAGATTCTAAGTGCAAGGCTTGAACTTGCATAATTTTTAAACATAAGCAATAGCCTCAAGAGCTTGAACTTGCATGGTATACACAATCAAAACAACAAAAGAAATACGTGCAATAGTCTAGCATGTAATTTTCTCCTAAAATATAATTTCATTCTAACAAAATCATAATTATATAATTTAATTAGTAACATAAAACTTAATCCTTGAACTTCTGACAGCAACATTATTATTTTGCTGTAATTTCAAAATCAAGCAAAGTACACACTTTCATGGGCTCAAACAAAATTTAAGCATCATAATATCATATACATTAGTAAAACTAAAATTAATTAATCACATTCTTGGGTCAAAACAAAAATCACATTCTTGCATGGAGAATTATTTAGGAAAATAAAAAAAACAAGAAAAAAACACTTGGAGAGAAAAGAAGGAGTGTCTTCAGTCGTGAGTGGCTAGGCTTCTTCATTCACAGAGCTACCAAGAGAGATAAGGAGAAGACGAGAGAGATAGAGGTAATAAGGAAGTTAGGAGAGGAGAGACAGAGAGTGAGGTAGGGAGCTGAGAAATGAAAGATAGAGGCAGGGATGAGAGAGTCTATAAGGGAGGACGTGAGACGAGAGATAGAGACAAGAAATGAGGGAGCTAAAAGCTGAGAGAGTTTTGCGATGGAGGGAGCTGAATGCAAACAGAGACAAGAATGAGGGAGCTGAGATGAGAGAGGGAGTTATGAGGAGGAGGTAGAGACAGAGCACAGTGATAAGACACAAGGAGCTGACACTAGTTTTGAAAATAAAAAAGTGAGTGCACGGAGTCCAAAAATTTAACATATTATACATCCTCCATGGGGGAAGGGGATGTGGATTTAAGGGGGGGACATGGCTTATTAAAATTTTAAACAAATACTTTTTTTAATCCACGTCCTCTTTTCTTTTAGGTGACACACATTGTGTTCTTTCAAAGTCCCATTTTCAAAATGCAACATGAATTAGGATAGTGGAACTGCCTTTTTGTAGTAGTGAGTGGTAATTTTGCTATTCTATAGATGTTGTGCTCTATTGGATGCTTATACGGTCGAAATTCTAATAAAGAAAGTATCTATACTTTGTCTTTATCTTAGTTTAAGTGTTAAAAAGATTGGAGTGTGTTTAACATTATCTCTTGCTTTCCATTTTATAGGCAATTAAAGTGACCTATTCTTTTCATGAGTTGCATCACCTACGAAGGCCACTAAGTGCTTCAATTACTATTTCTTGAAAGTAGTTTCTCTCCTTTTTAAAAGATTTTGGCCAATATAGATTTGGGCCAAAAAAAATATGGAGTAAATACAAATATTTAACATTTGATTCAAAAATTAAATTTAAAGCAAAATCAAACATTCCACACCACCCAAGCTTTGTTTATTTGTTGCTAATTCTTTTAAAATTAATTTGTTATCAATTATTTTAATCTCTGCACAATTTTCTTTGACCCAATTTTTCATCCTACAAAGTTTTCAAATTAACATAAAGGAAATTAGGACTTTTATTATCTTCTTATAATTTTTTTAAAAAATATTAAATTTCTACTTGTCAAAAGTATTACACTTATTTTTTCCTTATAATCTAATATGGCTATATTAATTGAGTTAGATTCAAATATTGTCAAGGCCAATTGAGGTTTGTTCTATTAAAAAAGTTTCTCCTTCCAGTATGACCAAAAAAACAATTGGTATCGTTACATTTATGTTAACCGAATATTAATTTACAAGATTTTGAAAATTTAAGTGACAAGTTATTTTGTATTCCATTGAAAAGGTGGCCTATTTATTTTTTAAATGATTGAAATATTTATTTATGGTGGACGTTAAAGTCTCATTAGGGAGGGCATTTCCCGCTAAAAAATATTTTTGCTAATATATATATATATATATAACAAAGTGACAAAATACATAGATATGGAAATATTTTATCAAATGAGCATAATAACCCAATTTGATAAAGTTTGACTAGAAATGTTGTTACTATTAAAAAATAAATCTATAATTTTTTTTATTATGCTAGGGTTTTGAGAGAAACATCGAGTGCATGACTCAACCATTAATAGAAAATGGGCGAGCCTAGTTCATATGGACTTTGCCTTTAAGGGCTCAAGCCCATAAGCCTGGTTACCCTAAAATCCATCATTTTCTAAAGCCATACCCTTATTCAAAGGGCTCAAGGTAGAAGCCTATTTTTATTATTTTTTGTTAATTTTGAAATTTTTAAAAATTAAAATTTTTGATTATAATATTTTATATTTTTAAAATAAATGTTATAATGATTAAAAATTAAAAATGAATAATAAAAATTCTTATATTAAAGTATAAACATATATTGTAGTTTTTAGGGGTAAAAATAAAATAAGCTTGAAAGGGCCACCCAAGCTTGAGCCTGTTTTTTAGAGCTTATCAAGGTCAGGCTTTAAAGCCCAATGTCTTTAAAAATGCCATTTTTCAAGCCTAAACCTTATAAAAATGGGCTTAAATGGGCAGCCCGTCAAGCTTGATTCTTATTCATAACTCTCTACACTAGCCTCCTAATAAGGTGGAGATGATAGATTGAAGGCATACTGAGATCTGAATGATGGAAGGCTTGTTGTTGAATGAGTCACAACTCATTGTTACAAAGGAAGATTGGATGTGAGAGGACAAATAGGGGACAGGTAAGCTAGTAAGGAGTTCACTAGGGGAGATGAAGAAACCTAAGAAATTATAAGAGGAGGAAAAATGTCATATAAGTAATTTTACAAGTGAAGAATCAGAAGAGGAGGAGATTGAGGAGGAGTTAGACTATTGGAGTAATGAAAAGTGGAAGGAGAGATTAAAAGTGCTATAGATGTAGACAAATAAGGGGCCAAACTTAATTGTGCCACTGGAGGAAAATAAAGTGATTAGTTAAAAAATGGCAAAAAAATGCTTATTATTAAACTTCTACCTTGGGTGATACGTCAAGATTGCTTAGAAACCAAATTACAACAATTGAGGGGACTCACTGGTGGTGGAGAGACTATTGATATGGGAGCATGATTTTTCATGGTAATTTTTTTTAAAAAAAGATGATTATGACTTTGTATTGACAAACAAGAGGCATCTGGCTAAGTATGGATTATCATCTAACTATCCAACCATAGAAGGAAGATTTTATTCCTAAAGATGAAGAGGTCATTAAGATTATAGCATGGGTAAGAGTATTGGAGGTCTCTATGAAATATTATGATAATAGCATCCCTATGCATTTGGTAGTCCAATTGGAGTACCGAAGATTTTTATAGAATATTTCTAAAACTTTATTGCCAATTGTATGTGTGAATGATAAGGAGGAAAAAATGATATAAGGGTATCCTTATGATATGTTTTAATGGTGGAAAATATGGGCATGCTATGAAACATTGTGAGGCATAAGGGGAGTAGATGGGCTATTACATCATAATGAAATAGGAATGGAGGTGTACAAGCACAACATATAAGGATAAAGGGAGAGCTGTAAGGAAACTGTACAGTAACAGGTATGGGGAATGGATAGTAGCACAAATGCCATAATAGTTTTGAAGAATAGCGATTAAGGGGAAAGGGCATGATGCTAGACAAAATGATAGGGGAATGACATAGTTAAAGGGCCAAAGGTCATGCTTTAATTTGCTAAATTCTAAAGTTAAGCCCACATCAGTCTAAGGAAATCAGAAGGGCCCCACTGCAAGATATTGTTAAGCCCACATCAGTCTAGGGAAATCAGAAGGGCCCCACTGCAAGATATTTCTAATGTGCATTAAAAA